GGATCTAATGGTTGTTGTGGGTTTTTCGGGCTCTTTGGCCGTGTTCTGAAGGTTGTTCTTCCTAACGTTTCGCTAGTCTCTGTGGCCGGCATCTTCAGAAAAACCCACAACAACCACTAGGCCTTTTCTTGGCTTTCTGAATCATGGGTAAAGCAGCACAAAACCCCACATCATAAACCAGAAGTTTTATCTAATTAGGGTGGTGGGACAGAAGAGGTGGGAACCAGGAAGGCACACCTCAACAACTAAAATTGCAGCCACAAGGTGGGGTGAGACAATGAAGCAGCAACATAAAGGAACAAACCAGTATGAACCAAAAATTGACCTATCCTATCATTTCAGTTAAAAAGAAGAAACGATTTGACTGATAACACATATCAAACTTACACTGAACAGCGTATGATGCAAGTACCACAGCTGAATTAACAGGGCATAACAACCTGGAAGGAAAAATTGGGAAAAGTTGTACTGAAAGTATATGCCAAAGTGCAGCACAAAAATAATCTGCTATGTAATTACACATCCTCCAATCACAGAAATGTCTACTACAGCTGCAAACAGCTGCTGTTTTAAATGAAACCTGTTCTCCCTGTCTGCCTAAAGAAAGAGAAGTTGCTTTCATATAAACAAGGACTTTTGTATGTTTTTCATCTTTCTGGCTTATACAAACCTGCTCACAAGCAAAATATTGTGTGAATGTGTGCAATCTTTATCATGTAGATATCTGGAATACCTGCACAGTACAGCTACACATTTTACATTAATTCTCGGGGCCATAAATATTTTATTTCAAGTTCTTTTTAGAAATCAATTTTCAAAACTCAAAAGCAAATATTCAAAAAAGAGATTTCCATTTCTTGAAAACTGAGTAAAGCTATCTAGGTACAGTGGTGCCTCACTTAACGATGTTAATTGGTTTCAAAAAAACCCATCGCTAAGTGAATACATCGTTAAACGAAGCAATCACTAAGTGAGGCACCACTGTATGAACTATGAAAATAAATGCAAAGGTAGGTGTACCACTAAAATTAATCCAGAATGGATTTACAGTCAATGAGTTAGATAAAATAAATTAATACTACAGTATCAGTATTACTTTTTTTTAAACTATGCATGCACTCTAGCTAGGACTGTTATTAGGGCTTTGCACTGATCTGAGGCCTGGCAGCCCAGAGGGCTCTTCAATAACACCACTGTCTGCAGCAACATTTTCCATTAGTTTTTAAAAAGCTTTTATACAGGCCAGGCACAGTATGAAGCAGTATCCCAAGGCACCTCCTACACATTAACTTCATTCATTCCGTAGAAATGCTCCCAGAAATGAAGACAGCAGGTACAGCTGGAGCACTGCTGCTTAGTGTGCATGATTTCTGTTTCAAGTTCTGATCAACGCTCCAGGAATGATCTGATGCAACAACTGCTGCTGTTAGCCGCTCCTAGCTACCATGAGACTTCTGGGCTGGCACTTCCACTGACAGCTGACTGCTTGGGAAGATAATAGGAGGTAACAGAAGAGAAAGTAGAAGCAAAATTTTGCAGCTGGAGCTTTTCGTATCTCGAAATTTTCGCAACTAGGGATGTTCGTAAGTCGAGGCACCACTGTAATTGGGATGAAGGAAGGCAGGAGAGAAGGTAGAGTAATAGCAAAGAGAGGAAAAAAGTCTCCCTTCAAGATAAACAGGGTGTTTTTATTGCTTCTATTTCAAAGAGGCATCACATTCTTGGCAGCAGTACATTATAAATACAGCCCCCACCCCAGTGGGCAATGTAGCCCTTTGACCTCCAGAGGTTGCCCACACTGCCCCGAACTCTCCCCACAGTAGCTGTATCTTCCTTCTCTGGGCCTGTCCAGACTGTTCATTTTGGGTATGGGGTGGACTGAGCGACAAAGATTCTGTGAGGTCAGTGAGGGAGCGATATGCCATTTGGTGTGGTCCTCCTGTCTGAATAGCAAATAACCCCTTGCAGCCCAATCAGCTGTCAATTAAGTGCTTCCCTTGATAATCTGCTGAGATTCAAAGAAAGTTAATTTTTTTACATCACCTCTCTTTTTCCTTCCCCTATCTCTGCTTCTCTTTGCTGCTTCTTCCCCCGTTTTCTCTTAAACTCTCCGTTGGAACCTGCAGCTGCTACAGGCTGCTATCTCCAGGCTAAACAAGCATGCCAAAAACAATACATGGCATATCGCTGGCCCAGAAAGGTGCACAATAGTTCTTAAAGGGAAATGATGGATTGTTTTAAGTAGAAACACTTGCAGACAAGGGCTTTATTTCCCAATCCAAACTGTTCCCTCAGCAATCCATATACAGTTGTGCCCCGCTTGACGATTACCTCGTTAGATGAGGAAATCGCTTGACAACTAGTTTTTTGCGATTGCAAAATGATGATTGAATGGTATTTTTTCATTTGACGATGATCGGTCCCCTGCTTCGGGAACCGATTTTTCACTTAACAACGATCAAAACAGCTGAACGTTGGGTTTTAAAAATGGCCGCCCACTGTGCAAAATGGCTCCCCGCTGTGTTTTAGGACGGATTCCTCACATTACAGTCACTGGAAAATGGCCACCCTATGGAGGATCTTCAGGTATTTTGCCCATTGGAACGCATTAACCGGGTTTTAATGCATTTCAATGGGCTTTTTACTTTCACTTGACAACTATTTCGTTCTACAGCGATTGTGCTGGAATGGATTATCCTCGTCAAGCGAGGCACCACTATATCATAGCTATATGCCAATGTGGGCAGGCCCTCTGTTTCTTCAAGAGTTAACCAAATTGCTTTAGTAAGGATTTGTTACCTTCCTTCCAAAATATCAGCCTTCAATTGCAAGAAGAATAGATGTCTGAAAAACAAATTTTAGAAATACTTATCATTATAGGTAACTACATAATCAAACAACTATAATTGTAAAAGAACACTGAGTTACTATCATTTCTTAAACAAAACATGGTATTTCCCAATTTACTTTACCTGTCACTGCTTAGACAAAATTGTGATGAATCATAACAGCACTTAAGGGTTAAACTTCACCATAAACAAAGAAAACTAAAAGCTAATCCCACACTTCAGTAAACCATAACATCATAATTTACAGGAGTTCATTATTTCAGCATCCCTGAACATTTTATCTTGATATTTCTTTATGGCTGGGACAGAAGCATTTACCAAACTCTGTTTGAGGGAATAATTGTTATCAGAATATAAGCCTAACTGCTGAAGTGTTTATAACAACAAAGAAGAAATAATCAACAGATGTTAACAAAATTTATACCCAGTGATCATACAGATACGGAGCACTGTGTATCTGTTATTGCAGTTTTTAACTACCTGTACATATAGTGGAGTATTTTAACAATCAGCAATCAACAAAAAAATCATGTTGTATAAATGCTTTTTTCCTGTAAAAACCAAGGTAAAGCAATATCAGCCATTCTTAACAAATTAATACCAACACTGAAAAAACAAAAACTACCTGGTTTGTTCCTGTTGCAGTGTGTTGGGATCTGGTATAAAAAACCTTACTCGAAAATACAGGCTGCAAGGGGAACCACCTACAGTATTATAGAAAGGTAAACCCAGAATTAGTTACCATATAAAATACCATATTACATTTTATCTGAAAGACAGCAATATCTTAGCTGCTATTTTCCTAGAACAGAAGATTAGTAACCCTCCTTTACTAAAACTCTACTTAGTTGCACATATAAATTATAACTGAAATGGAAATAAATATGCCTTAGTAAGAATCTTAATGCAATCAGAGAATTTTACAACACAATTTTACATTTTTTAATAAATGTATTTAGGTAGAGTTATAGATTACTAAGCTATGTGCAAGTGTCTCCTTCAGCAAAACTGGAGCCAGTTCACAACAGATTATTAATTCAATATACACTGCAGGCCCAAATAATGTAATCTGTACTTGGATAATCACATAATACCACTTATAGTTTCCAAGTTTATCAGTGAATAGTGTCTGCCAGAGGTAAAGAAGTTGAAGAAAGAATTACAATCCAAAAATACTCTTTGCCACTGTTGTAGTTGTTTGCAATGAATCTAGACTTACTGCAAGACTTGTACGCCTACCACGTGAAACTGAATCTCAATAAGCTGTATCATGCCCCACCCTTTATTTAAGATTGAGAGTTGCCAATAAAGAGGATAAAATTAGACATAGATTTGCAAGAAATTCTCACTGACTAGTTTACACATATATGTGCAAACTCTGAAAAGAAATTATTAATTTAAATAGAAAGGCTAAACATCTCACAAAAGACTGTATGGCTAGCTGTGAGGGGGTCACTGCCAGCACTTCTGGCCAGTTGTCTGCTCTTACCCTACAGTGCCTCAAGAGCATGGACAGAGCTGCTGCTCTAGGCTTGTGGGAAGGCTGGGAGGAGGAGAGCCCAGGTATTGCTGGGGAGTAGACAGGAGAGAGGACAGCTGGTCAGATGGGAGAAGGGTGTGCTATCAGCATTAAGAATGTGGAGCAAAACACCAGGGTCTTCTGGGTCTGTGACACCCAGTGAAGCGTCAGCCAAAGAGAAAACCTGGAGGTCTGCGGTGGAGGAGTTGGAGCCCATCTTCTTTGTGTTTGGAGGGAAGGATGACAACTCGTGGCAGAAGCCTCTGATCTGCTTCCCAGCAGGTAGGGTCAATGGAAGGGGACATCCACTGCTCCAGTATCCGGGAGAGGCACTAGCTTCACCAACTCCATGGTGCCTGAGATGGCCGATGTGTCTGGTGCCACCCACTCCCATTCAGCTGAAGAGCGGACAGCACAAGCTCAGCATGATAGAAGGAGGCTTGCCAAAGACTGGGAAGACAAGCAACACCCACCATCTACCTCGACCAGCCCTTGTTGAAACGCCCCAAGCCCAGGCCTGAAGTGGGCTTGCTTATTACAAGGATTGCCTTAATGATGAGAACTGAGTCCAGTACAGTCGTGCCCCGCTTAACGATTGCCCCACATTACGACGAATCCGCTTCACAATGATGTTTTTGCGATTGCAATTGCGACCGCAAAACGATGGTCTAAGTGGGGCTTTTTCACTTTGCGAAGATAGATTCCTTGCCATCAGCTGGGGGCAGTGGCAGTGGTATTCACACCATTTCATTCAGTTGCTTATATGGCTAACTGTTGATGAACAACTTGAAGGCCACTTATTCTTTGCTTTTAAACTACACTTGCAATGGACAGACTTTCAAACACAGGATACATTTAAAAAGAGGACCACATTCGGAAAGCCATTCAGATGTTGCTGTTCAATATTAAGACATTGTTCAAGAGTCCCACTGAATATTATTAAAGTTTACAGCTAGTATTGATTATGGTAAGTTTTTGGTGAGTTAACTATACAAAGATGTCAACAGCAGAAAAACAAAAACAAAGGGATTCTAATTACCTTTTAGCTGTTTCCGAATAGGCTTATCAGATTCAAGCCATCTCTGCAAAAGTTTTAAAAAATGATTAGATGGTTTATTGACTGCACATGTTTAAAATCAGCAGTGTAAATATTTCCTTACTGGGGAAAGTGCTGACTCTTCACGTTGTTGTAAACCAAAATATTCCTTCTCTGTCACACCCAAGTGATTGTAAGCCAAATCCAGCAACACCTGACCAGTGTCGTGTTTCTAAAAAAACAAAAAAAAACAAAGGAAATGCTTGTAGCATAATAGCAAAACAATCTTTGCCAGACAGCAGAACTGTTTTTCTGTATCAGTTTCAATAAGGTAGCTGTGTTAATGTTTCAGCTTATATAACAAAAGTAAAAACAAAAGAGTCACCTTAAACATGCCAGATTTATGTCAATGTGAGCTTCTTCTCCACATTACAATCCATTTCTTAGACACGTAGAGGAATTTCTTACTATTTAGTCTTTTCAGGTGCCATACCTGTTTTTACTTTTGTTAAGTATTTCTGAAACATTATCCAATAAACATATATAAAAGAGCAATTTTATTGGGAATGGATGGAAGATTTACAGTTCTTACACAGTGTTGCCGGGCTTGTCATGGCACCAATTCCTCACTGCTGTCCAACATCTCACTCAACTCTTGTAAAATAAACTTGCTCCATCAAAAAGCCCATCCCCAATCCTTACTTTAGATTCTTTATTTAGTGCCATGGAGCGAAGCAAGGCATGATACAGAAAGCCATTGAAACAGCTAGTGATTTAAATTTACCCTAAGCCACATGACTTGCCAAATTTATTTATTGTCTGGAGATACTCTACAATAAAGAGCATGGTGAAAAACTTCTTGGATTGTAAGACTTGGTCAAGTGGAACCAAAAGAGCCTCCCACAGGAACAACTAGTATAAACCAAAGCAGTTTTATTAGTTCATGAACCTAAGAGACAAAGCTGCTGCTGCTTACAATTTACAGCTCATGGAATGGAGATTCCAGCCTCCATTATCAGCTAAAGATTGTGTTTTTCTGCTGAGCTTCCCTGAAAATACTCTTTCTGTTACAGACTTTAGTACTGGGTATTTCTAAAAAAATAGTGAGAGCTGGTCCATAAAGAAGACTGACCACCGAAGAATTGATGCTTTTGAATTGTGGTGCTGGAGGAGACTCTTGAGAATCCCCTGGGCTGCAAGGAAATCAAACCTATCCATTCTGAAGGAAATCAACCTTGAGTGCTCACTGGAAGGACAGTTCCTGAAGCTGAGACTCCAATACTTTGGCCATCTCATGAGAAGAGAAGACTCCTTGCAAAAGACCCTGATATTGGGAAAGTATGAGGGCAGGAGGAGAAGGGGACGACAGAGGACGAGATGGTTGGACAGAGTCATCGAAGCTACCAACATGAAATTGACCCAACTCCGGGAGGCAGTGGAAGACAGGAGGGCACAGCGTGCTCTGGTCCATGGGATCATGAAGAGTCGGACACGACTTAACGACTAAACAACAATTTCTTTAAAAACCCCATAAAATGCTGTCAGTAAGATGGAAGATGGCTCACTTCATTAAGCTTTCATGACTTTGAGTATCAAGGACAATTGTGAATAATCAACTGGAGCACTTAACAGAGACTGAGTAACCAAGAATACGGCCTACTGGAGAAACCTTTTGCTGATAAACTATAAACTTTTCACCATCTGAATCAGTAACTCAAAATGAAATCATAATGTTATTGTTTTAGCTAAGTAAGACAATTTATGTAGTTCCCCAAATATGAGTGATTAACCTATTAAACTAAAATCAGTTCTGATAATCGGTTTTACTAATATGACAGATTATTATTCTAAATATGAAATCTTCATCTGGTTTCAAATATTAAAGATAATAACTACCAGCAAGAATGGGTATTTATATTTAAATTGTGATTTAAATCGATTTGATATAAATTAAATCTACCTTGCTACATAGAGCAAAAATTCCTATCTTTACACATTCCCATTAAGAATCTAGGATATACTGCTGCATATCCCATCTCTTTATATATATATATATTTATCCTAGCTGACGCCAAAATGAACAGATAGCTTCTCATTATCATCATTGCTACAGTTTCCCAAATGTATATTGTTAAAATTGTGACACTATTACCATTATTTCTAGAAGCCAGGATTAGAGTCTCAAAATTTATAAATGGTCTGACTTCCTAGCTTTTATCCCCTGAATATGCACTAAAATGTGTCAGCTGGTATATTTGCAGCACAATTGCCTTAATGTTTCCTAATTGTTATTTTAGTTAATTTCCTGTTTGAGAGCGTCTTCCTGTATATAGGTTGTTTAATAAGTCATTCTGCACCCATTTTTTGTATTATTTAATTTTATCTTAATAACATCTGGGAATTATGAGAGCAGAAAAAACATGTCAGAGTAATACTGCTACTAACAGGAGAGTGAGTCAGACGGAATACACACAATGATTTCTATAATTGAAAGGAGAGAAATGGGAAAGAATGGAGCAGAGAAAAATGTAAGGGTTAGTAATAAGAAAGAAAGTCATCTTAAACATGCTCTGGTCATCTCCCGTTCTCATATTTTACATACTGTATTTTTTGCTCCCTAAGACGCACTTCCCCCCCCCAAAAAAGTCAGGGGAAAAGTGTATGCATCTTATGGAGCGAAACTGCCACCTCCTGGGACTCTTTTGAAGCTTGGGAAGCTTCAGAAATGTCCCAGAAGGTGGCGATTTCCCCCCCCCCAGCCCCGCGGGGGGGGGCAGAGGGAGCCTCCAAAGGGCCCTAGGGTGTGTTCTATAAGACAGACCTTTCCATAAAACTCACCAAAATTTTAGGAGAAGAAAACAGAAAAAAAATAATCTGGGAATTTCGGTCTGCTAGGCCAGCGGGGGTGAGGATGGGGGAAGCCTCCAAAGGGTCTGAGAGTGCCTTCCAGGACCCTTCAGAAGGCGTGGAAGGCACTCTTGGACCCTTTGGAGGCTTCCCCCATCCTCACCCCCGCTGGCCTGGCAGGCCGAAATTCCCAGATTAATTTTTCCTGTTTTCTTCTCCTAAAATTTTGTGCGTCTTATGGAGCGAAAAATACGGTAATTGATTGCGCATTCACAAAATCACCCACCACAAAATTATCTTCCATTCATTTTTTATTTCTATGCATTCCTTTTACATTTTTTGAAAACAGGAATAAGTAGAACAAAACAAAAATAAAAATAAAAATAATTTAAAAAATATTCTGTTGGCCTGTATAGGTATCAAGGCTCTATTGACAAACTGAGCTACGAAAACAGGCCTATCACAGACCCACAACCATGAGGGTCTCATTCCAGCACACTAAACAGGGTAAAGCTGAAGCTGTTGCTAAACAGAAGTTCCTAATCAATGTGCCTCATGACAACCTTATCAACAACCACAGACGAAAAGATGTTGAAAAACAACATCATGGCCATTTACATTGGTATTATTATACTCATCAAAACTGTTAATGCCTCTCAAACATAGCCATTTCTTAGTCTTTCTACCTCATTACCAAAGACAACAATTGTCAACCCTATCTCTTCACTCTGCCAAGCTTCAAAACAACCAGTTGAGCTGTTTTGGTCACAGAAGACATGACACCTTCCAACTCTCCATTCCTGGCTATAGCAGGAATATAATTAATAGCAAAATGCCCCACTATTTGCACTGTTTATTGTTAGATTCTGATTATTAGTCAGTTGTACTTGTCAGGAGAGTTCACAAATTATCACTGTGCCATACCTCAATGAAGACAGTGTTTTTTTAGATTAGGGCTCAGATGGAAACCCTTAAGACAGTAATCAAGCTCACGAGTCCTGACTTTATATAATCATCATCATCATCATCCTAGAACTGTGAAGGAGGCACAATAAGGAATCGAACTCCCAATATTTGGCTCCATAGCCTGATGCCTAAATTTACTTACACTCATGTTAAAGCTTTGCACTGAACCATCCAGAAAGTAGACATTGCAAACAATCTCTGACCGGTTCCTTTCCTTTGGAAGTTCTGACGCACGAATGTTATTTATTCTCCCACCTAGTGCTCGTAACCGAGTGTTCATAACTACTGTTGAACAACCTGCAAAGAAAGAAATATATTATATTTTATTTCATGTATTAGGTATATTACTTTCTTGATTATTTAAAAATTTCAAAATACCCCCACATCAGGTCAAAATACACCATACAAAAAATATGGATTACTAACATTTAAAAATGAGACATAGAGAATTGAGAGTTGTTATATTTAGAGTCAGACTTTGCATTTGAAGAAACACAACATCAAAAACAGATTTTCAGAGGCTTTCAATGTTGTTTCGAAAAACATTCTCTGTCTGTATTGGTTGCATTTTGTTATTCTATGTCTGTAAAGCTATCCCAGAAAAATGCTTGGCTAAATGCACTTCTAAGTTCCAGTTGGAACAGACTTGCTGATTGAATGTGACTTTGCTAACCCTAGTTGAGACAACCATGGGAATTAATCCATTACTTTTAAGATATAGAATAATGCTAAAAATACTGTTCATTACCTTGCCAAAACAGGGTCAATATAATGAGGACGGGATGCATACGACAGCCACAACTGAAGTGAATGATAAGCATCCCTATACAGGATGGCACTTAGAATTTATCACTGGAAACAAGGCCAAACATACTTCCTGTCCCTGGCAATCTGAAATCAAGCTGGCCCCTTTCTATAAAGTTTTGCTACTTCATACATATAGTAGATAAACAGACAGACAAAAAAATATGACACAGATCCAGTTATGGTTCCGTCCTTCTAATTTTGATTCTTTCAGCATTTTAACATGTTTTATAGAAAAGATGTAGAATCTTCATGTAACATTACCAAAGAATGATAGGACAAAATATTGGAATCTCTAACAAAAACATTTTTCAGAGAATCCATACTATTAAAAATGATACTGTTAAAATCCTCATAAGAAAAAGTAGTGATATCTTTTAAAACAAAAAAATAAGACAAAGGCAGGGTGTTTTTTTTTAAGTACAGTAACATGGAATCAAGTCTGTACAATAAAAACAGCAAACAAGACCTGTAAAGGGGCACCATCTAGTTCTTTCAATTTTTAAACATCTCTGCAAATCTAAAACAGGAGTAACAGATAGATTCTAAGATTTAATTACTCAATATACTAAAATTAAGCACTTGTTATTGATTAAATAACACACCAGTCATCAGAAAATAACTGCTAATGTCCAACTCGATATCTCTCTTCCCAATGCAGTTGACTAAAGTTTGGCTTTTCAATTTTTGTAGCACCTAGATCTTCCTGGATCTCCCCTAAAAATGGATAACTGCCTTCTGAGAGAACTACAAATGGCCATTTTGAATTATATTTTATTTGGAAAATTTCCCCAAGACCATTAGTTAGACCTGGAGACCTTTATTTAAGACTTGTAGTGATGGACACTGGAAGAAATTGATAGATATACCTCCCAAAGCCACTGTTTGTGCTTAATTCTGCTTCTAGTGAAAACTAACACTTTGACTCTAGAATAACTGATACTTACAAGTTCCTCACTGCAATATGAATGCACAGCCCTCAAAAGTTGTTGGAAACCAATGCTAGTTATAGACAATAACACAGCATTGTCAGTGTATAGAATTGAAAGTGGATGGGTGTTCACATTAGGAAGATAAAAATCAAGATTTAACAAACTCTTCTCTTTTAGACTTGATGCAGAAGTTAAACAATTTAGCAACTAAAATATATCCCTGTTTAACTCAATTAAAGGTGGAAACAGATATAGACAAGACCCTAGACAAGACCCTAGCATGACTGCAGTTCACCTGTAGCCTTCTGTTTTCCTATGAGTATCAAATAAGTAACAGTAATCCTCTATAAATATTGGTGTTCTTAAATTTACATCATAATTTATCTCTAAGAATATGATTGAATGCTGACTTGAAGCTGAGAAAAGCTGAGAAAAGGACACCATCAGGCATTTTTGTTTACCAAATATTGACGGATAAATCTCTGCTCCACAATCAACCTTCCTGTTCTAAATCCAGCTTATTCTTCCTCAACAATGTTTTCTTTATGTAACCAATCCAACAATTTTTTTTGAGCAGATGGCGACTATATAGTCTGCTAATAATAATACTCAACAAACTAACTTGGAAGTAATTGGCTGGATTTGATCTACTTCCTTTCTTGTATAGTGGGATAATGATGGCTAAACCCCACTCCTCCAGGACACATACTGTACTATATAGTCAATCCGTGTAAACAGTGATGTCAGCACTGGGGACCACCAGTCTAAATTGGCCTTTAACAAATCAGAGGGGATGTTGTCTGCACCTGAGGCTTTACCTGATTTTACTATTGGATCAGCTTGGTGGTTTATGAGGTGGATATGGGTGACCACTCTCCTATACAATAAAATATTCTGCAAAACGTGAAGGCTTTCCTGATCCACTGCCAAGATGCTCTCAAAATATGATTTCCATGTTTTTGCAGGGATAAATGAATTAAGATTGGCTATATCCTTAGGCAAGCCTTCACTGGCTATCTTCCAAAAGGAGGGTGAATCATTTAGTTTTGATGCAATTATTCAATGCTTTTTCCTCTTTTTCCTCTTAATTAAAGATTTTTATTTTCATCACAAAACATTCAGCAGGAATCCTTGCCATATTCTGTTTCCTATATAATCCGTATTTCGCCACTAGAATATTTTTCACTATGATACATTTCTTGTCAAACTTGGATTTAGAATTGTAAACAAAGATGTGATTTCTGTTTGGATTTTTATATATGAAGACATTCCGCAAGGACTGTATCCACTTTCCATATACACAGACTAGGATAAGAGTCCTGCTCCGACCCACAATAAAAGTTAAAAATTACACAAGTTTGTGACCAAACATTATTAAAAATAAAAGAAACTGATTACCAAGGTATGAAGAAAGGTTGAAATGAACAGCTGTAGGATCCCTGAAAGCAGATTTCAAGGAACTGACAAGCCCAGGCAGCACAGCTGGCCCAGACAGCAAAGAAAGCCTAGACAGCAAATTGAGACAGCAGAAACTGAAGAAACTGAAAAGAAGAAACTGATGCCTAGTCACCTGAAAAGGAGGTTCAGACTGGCTCCAGGGTATCAAAAAGTACAAAAATGCTAATAGAAAGGAAAAAGAGTAAATGAATCAACAAAGGAGCTCCTTATACAGTTACGAAGTGAACTGCAACGAGACAGCAATATAAATAGTAGATTAAAAACTAACAATCCTAACTGCAAAAACAGATATTGAATGCACTTGATCAGAAGTATTAGAAAAGAGATTAAAACACGACATCCAAATTGGAAAGCTCACTGAATGCACCAGATTTTTTCAAGACAAGATAGAGAATATAGACTAGCACTGGAGACCTAACGGAAGAGGCAAGAACTAAAACCATTGACTTCATTACTGAGGAAGAAACAGATCCAACTTTGCTGGGGCTGTCCATTCAAACTACTGTATTGGTAAACCATAACCAAAAAGAAAAAATGTAATTCATACTGTACAAGCACAAAAACATAATAATGGACAAGGAGATGAAGATAGACTGTCTAGAAGAAGTAGATGGGAAACCATAACAAGCAAAAGTAGGACACCTAAATTTAAGTGGAGACAACCACCAACCATAGACCTGACAAGGCACTGTCATCTCCTTGAAGATCTGCCACTCAAGCACACAGGAAGTGCTCCAAGAAAACTGCATCTAAAATTAGGTGACATCAACTGCACCAAACATGACTACAAAGCAAAAACTCTATAATAATCAAGTGGGACACGGTGTTATAATTAACAGATTTAATTTAAAACACTGTTCATTGCTGTGGTTACCCTAGTATGGAACTACACAATTTAGCCAGTAGTGCACAGATTTTTCTACCCAACCCAACTGTAGGGAGCTTGAAAAAGATTATCATTAAATGTCAATGGTCTGGGGACAATATGCAAGAGATACAGACAGACAACATCTGTATTGCAATATTAAGGTAGGATTAATATACCAACTTAATACGTCACTAATATCATATAACAAGCATTTATCAATAAATATACTATGAAGTAAAATAATACCGATATTTATACATAAAATTACTATAAAATATGGCAACTGTTTGATTATTGAAACCAATTTAATTGGAGACTTCCAATAAGTACAATAATAAAACTTTAAAATATTTAACATATAACGTTTGATTTAAGACATATGGGATTATATTCATACCTCTAAATCTTCATGACAATTTACACTAATATTATCCAAATACTTAGCTCTGCTTATAGTGGCTTTCTTTGTAACTCTATTTATAACATGTAATTTATATGTTTGTAACAAATAGCTTAATTTCTCCGAGTAACTCCTATTTTTTACTTTGTCTAAAAAAGACTAAATATTTTTCTCTTACATCCGTATAAAAAGGGCATTCAAGCATTTAATGAGCAACATCCTCAAGGACAGGATTTCCACATACACACAATCTGTCTTCTATGCCCTGAAACCTACTCAGTTTAATGACAGAATCCATCTATTCAAATCTTAGATGTGTGCATGCTTTTCTTTGTTGCATTTCCATTGGGACTGATAAATAGTTTTCATATTGGTACAGTCATTTAGCATTAGTCAGCCATTTTGTTGCTGCTATAGATGCAACAGCTGTCATATCAGTGTGTGCCTCATGTCAAGAAACTTTTATATGAAGATATGAATTGTAACTTTCAACAATGGATTTAGTACTTGGGCTGAAAAACCAGGTTCTGGAAAAAGTTTATATAGATTCTGAAAATATGAATTGCCATAGAGGACACCTGTGTGCCTCCAAACAAATTTTGGGCAATCTTACTTTATTTAGACTACTTATTCTGCACCAATATTCTACCATTCTTACATATATCAAACCTGAAATATTTTTGGCAGCAAATTCTGCTCTAATAAAATTAGCTGGAGTAGATTTAGAACTCCCAGAATAGTATGATGAAATTTTGGATTTAAAGACTATATATTGGCCTGAATTTCCAATTCGTTTTTCTTTATTTGCAGTGCCCACATCATTAATGTAAAAGTT